CTGGCTGTTTGCTTGAAGAGCTGGCTCCCATGATCGAGTCTGTCCTGACCTGGACCCTCCAGTTACATTATCCTCACAGAAGCATTCATCTTTGCTCAAAACAGGTCCAGAAAACTTGCTGGGTATCTAGCAAGGGAAAAAGAACCGTATTATACGGTATACTATAGAAGCCCTGAATGCAGACCATGGCTGAAATATTAACCTAATCTTTATCACAGCAGTAGAAAACTTGCCCTTGACAATTATGATTTTAGAACTAATAAGGGATCAAGCAAAGACAGAACAAACTGTCTCTTCAGTAGCAAACATCTACTTCCAAAATAGGAGTGAAGCGTTTTATTTTTCAAAGTGTGAGGAAGAGTTTAAAATGAGATCAGCAATGCTTAATTTAACAACTATAAAATTAATATTTGTAATCTCTATGTATTGGAAAAAATCTACTAATTTTAGATTCTACTTTTTGCTGCTTGCCTATTTTACTTTCTGTATCCATAAAAGTATAAGTGTGATAAAAAATAGTGAATGTTTAATTTTTTAAAAATTACAGTAAAAGACACATTGCCACAAATACCCCTCAAAATCTACCTCCACACTTCAAACAAGTTTATCCCACTGTTTTCCTTCTTTCTGAAGCAGTTCTGGACGTTTTCCTTCCCGTCCTTAGCTGGACTGTTGCGGCTGCCTGGATGTCCTGAATGCATTCAAAATATTAAACTTTCCTGGTCTTTTGACTTGGACAAAGAGCCTGAATAAGATGGGTGAGGACATTCCATCATATTTTTTGCGACCCTGGCTTCCCAATGGATGATGCTGAGCAGCACCATTCACTTTATTTTTTATCATACCACACAAAGACTCACAAAAGTGAACTTCCAGAACTGCTTCAGAAAATGGCAGAAGAATTTCTTTCCCTTTCACAGTATCTGCTGTACCTTTTGGGTTTTATTTACTCTTTCAGGTTCTTACACTAGGAAGACACTATGATGTTTACATATGCAGGTCTGATTTATTTCACTTATCCATTTACCTATAAAAGCCTCAAGTTTATCTTTTTTATAGCTGAGTAATACTCCATTGTATGAAAATACCACATTTTGAAATTTTCTGTTGTTTTTATTGTTGCTGTGTTGTCTTGTTTTTGTCTTTGTTGTTATTTTGTTATTTTTTTCCTCTAAAATAAAAAAAAGAAAAGAAATGGCAAGAATGTGACATGTGTTCTAAGTCAGGGGGAGTATTCTGAAGGGATATAAATGGCAGTATGCCTTTTGCTGTACTACTTTGTTTTTATTTTAAAAATTTGCCGTATATTTTTATCACGCTTTATATATGCCATGCCTTTCATCCCTGCCCCAGAAGGTACCACACTGTTAAAGGAGTGAGTTCCACCACACCAGTGGGCTCCACTTTACCAGCAAGTAGGTGTATTTCTCTAGATATATTTCTATTTTTCCTTCCCCTTAACTTGGAGATGGTAATGACGCTTACCTCAAAGAAGAGTTTAATGTGATACAAACACAGTACATTTAACTCTGTGAATGTATGATATGTATATTTAAATATGATATGACTCCTTATGTTATATTGTGTTTATGTGTATATTATATGAATATATGTCTTTATGCATTGAGTTACACAACTGTAGATAAGGATACATACATTTGACCTATAAAGTATTTTTACAGCATAAGTTCTCAATACTTGTTGACCACTCTAAAGCCCAAATTAAATAATGTCTGAGAGATATAATCCCTTAAGGGGTTTTGTTCCCTTTTAAAATATAATGGTTTTTTTTTGTTTGTTTGTTTGGTTTTTTTTTTGTTTTTTGTTTTTCTCCGGTACCGGGAACCGAACTCATGACCTTGCGCTTGCCAGGCAGGCGCTTTGCCGCTGAGCTAAATTCCCAGCCCCTAAAATATAATGTTAAAATGTCTTACTTCCCCTGAAACTGGCAAAGAGAGGTAGCAGCCTGGGTTCCAGTCCTAAATTGACATTGATCGTGGCTTGGAACAGTTTCTAACTTCTGGTCTCTAGAATGGGAGAAACGACAGTGTCTCCCTCAGAAATTACAAGCTCAGGTGCCTGTAAGTGCCTGGGAGCTCATGCAAGAACATGAACCAGATCAAGTGCGTGGCATTAGTGTACTATGAGGACAATGGTGACACTGGCTTAATTAAAGGAGGCAACTACTCTAAGATCAAGAGATTGTTGTCATGCAGAAACATGGGACCAGGGCATCAGCCCTTCAGCTCTATGACAAGGGTAGAGATTCAACTTTTATACAATAATATTTTAAAATTAGCCCAGCTATACTACTTAGGACGAATGTGGCTCACGGATATAGCTAATGGGACAAGTAACACAATGCCTGGTGCACAATAAGCATAGAATAAATGTCAGCTACTGATATTTTTGATATGAGCACTATTTTCTCACTGTGTACAATTTTTAATTACTGACACCTGTTATTGATTTTTTTTTTCTTCTTGGATTTACACCTGAAAGAAATATAGACTGCAGGCAGAATTGAAGAAACTGTCCAAGTTAGCATGGGTTGCAGATAAATGGTTGAAAAAAAACACTTAGGAAGCTCCTATAAAAATCTAGAAGAAAAGCTCACTTTCCCATTAGGAAAATGTAAGTAAAGTTTTCATTTGGAAGGCAAACTCATTAAGGAAATGCTACTTTTCATACTAATAGCCAACTGCTGGCCAAGTGCCTTACAACTTTAAAAAGAATCATTAAATGGAGCAGAACAAGAGTCAGCAATTAGGAAGCAGCCAATTAAATGGCTGGGAGAGAGGAGGGGCCAGACAGGTGGTAACAGGTGGCTGAAGCAATCCCAATCCAGGGATTGCTGGATAAAGGCACACACCAAAAATCAACCGTCTTCCTAGACTGAAAAATCAAAAGGCTTGAACTCCAGTGGAAAAGGGAATTAAGAAGCAAGTGATGCCCTCTGTGTTTTATTGAGGGTTAAGAAGAAGAGAAAAGGCTTCCTTTTGTTTTATTATGGCCTTTAGAATCTAGAAAAAGTAGAGAATAGTATAAAGACATAAACACTGATAGCCTTAGAAAAAGAGGACTGGTCCTAAAGGAAAAATTAACTGTAAGGAATTGTGCTCGTTAACACTGCAGACTTGAGCTACATTCTTTTATTTTGTGCTTAACATCTGAGAACATATAGCTTTCATATCACACCAATGCTGTCATTCTTGTATTTTCCTTCACACCTTAGGCTTTTCTCTCACAGCCTATCTCCTTACAATATAAGACGTCCCAAGCATTGACCTTGCAACTCGTCCAATGAGAAGGAGAAAGAGGGAGGAACACCATGATAATCTGCTGCATTTCAGAGTTTCATTCTGTGTTCACCACAGATCAGTGACTTTTAGTGAAAAGAAAATATATAAAAAGGAATCCACTTAGGAGAGAGGCAGGTGGATGGAATGACTGGGTGGATGGAGTGATATCTGATCCATTGCAACCAACACATATAATCCAGTTTACAATTGCTTTCTCCTTTTTATGTGGATAACCAAATTACAGAGTATTTCCCCAAATTCAGAAAGAAATCAACCTTTTTCTAGCGTGAATATGAAGACACATTCTTTCAATTTTGCTGAATAGAGCCAGGAGAACTGTATTATTCTCTTTCGCCAATCCCACCGCCCTTCCTGATACCCTGATTCTACATCCACAGCAACAGATAAGGATCAAGAGAATAGTCTGCACGTTTGGAAATGAAAATCCAAAACACAGAAAATATAAAGGGAAGAGAACTTTCTCTTGCAGGAACACCGAGGTACTCAGATTCTACCTTCCCCTAGGCACGATCACATTTAGTAACTGCAGACCAATTTCCTGATCCTAACACTTCACCTTCACCCTGTCAGGAGGCGAACTCCCTGAGCAGCGGAGGATCCCAGGTCAAGAGGAATCATCCTTACACCTGGAGGACCAGGGAGTGATGCAAGTGGGCTGCAACTTCCCTTAGAAATGTTCCCTTAGATTACATTTTCACAATATGTACATGCATGAAACTTTTTTTGGTATTTGAAAAACAGAACTTCTAAACTGAGAAATAGTCAGAAACACAGGAAAGAAGGAAAATATGAAAACACCCAACTTAAACATTCTCAGCTAGTAACTGTATAGTATTCAACTTGTCTTCACCATTTTTAGATATTGAAAATGATTTTAAAAATTATTTCCTGTTAATGCTCACATAAAATTGATTCCCCTTTCACCTCTCAAAGATAGCCACCATCATGAGCTGGGTGTGCATTTTACACTCCACAGCTACAGTTTCACATACATGGTGAGGATTTTAAAACAAGACATCAAACAATAAATAAATAAAATAAGATATCTAAATGACAACATTAAGTAGGTATATTTCACACCTTGCTGGGCTCTTTTACAAAACATCATATTTCTGAGGTCTGGGTATAGGCATGCTCATCTTTACAGCTCTAATCTCTGCTTTTTAAGTGCAGTGTTGCAGTGCATTGTGTGAGTACCACACATTTTACTTTTCTGCGTAAAAATATTTAACTTCTTTAGCCTTGGGACAGGGGAAGAGGAGGGGATTCTTGTAGAAATGAAGCCAACCATCACAGCAGTTTTTTGTTGATTTTAAAGCTGGACTGAGAAACAAGCAGAAACACCTCCACTTACTCAACCTAGCAGGTATTAATGAAGTCTACATCTGGGCCCCAGTCGGTGCTAGTCTGGGCGACCAAGCAGAATACCCAAGAACCAGGACTGTCCCGGCTCGCATTTGGTTGCGTTATCTTGACCACCTGTCTTTGTCTTACTTTTCATTTTTAACTTCCCGACTTCCCAGTAGCGCGCTGAATATGCAGGGAATGTCACTACTTAGCTGTCTGTCCCCTTCCTCCCTCACCCCTCCCCTGGAGCCGGGAAGATGCTCAGTCCGAGAAGAGGGGCTGCAGGACTCGGAGCAAGGAACAGGTGGAGAGATCGAGGAAGGCACCTACCTGCCCGGCCGGGGCGGCCACGAGCGCGGGCTGCTCGGCCTCGCTGCTCTGCGGGCACCTGTGCTGCCGGGTCGGGTCCGGTCCGGCGCCGCGAGGGAAGCTCCCGGGGAGGGCGGGCGGCTTGGCCGGGAAGAGGAGGAGGAGGAGGCGGAGGAGGGGAGAGCAGCGCGGGGCGTCCCCAGGCTGCGCGGACAGTGAGCCGCCAGCCGAGGCCGGACGCGAGCCGGGGGGCAGGGCCGAGCAGCTGCCGTGGGCGGTTCCGACAGCTCGGCGGGGACCCCGCGGCTCCTTTCCTGGCTGGGCCGGGGAGGGGCGGGGCTGCCCTGAAGTGACCCCTGCGAAAAACGCGGGCGACGCTGCCATGCGGTAGGGGTGGGGAGGTAGGGGGAGTAGCGGGTGTGGGGGGTGCGGCAGTGAGGAGGGGTGGGGGTGACAGGTAAGATCCCGCAGATCGCAGAGGATTTTACAGGTTCCAGTGGGAAAGACCCTTTAGGGACTCTGCTCCGGTAGATTTTCTCATTTTACTGCTGAGGTAGCTGAGGCCGGATCGGGGAATTCTGGCCCAGTGTAGCTTGACAGTCGGCGGAGAGAACATCTGGTAGACCCAGGTCTCCTGGCTCGCAGCCCCCAACTTTTCCACGCATCTTTCTTGCCTCCCACCTGCTCCTGGAAGTGGGGCGGGGACAGTTTCCTTCACCTCACTTACAAGAATCAGCACGATCCAAGTGACTTATGTGTTCCCTCCGACCAAGAGTCGCCCGCTCTCGCGACGAGGCAGCTGTCGCATAGGTTGCTTTTGGTACCTCGAGGTGCGACGGCGGCGGGCCGCTGTCTGTGGGAGCGGGGAGCCTGTGGTTCTGGCGCGGATGCTGTGGGAACAGCCTCTAGGCGGCTCTTCCTTACCCTGTAATATTCGGTTCTTTAAAAGCGAACTTTTGTGTTAGATCTCCCACGGTCTTCTCACATTGGCAAGTTTTTTAAAAAGGTGTTGATCAAACGCAGTGTGTCTATAGCCGAATGTCTCTTTCAGACTCCTGCTTTTGATCTATTTAGATGTAACGTTCCACAGAGGGTAGGCGCTCTATTGGCACTGTTCATTCTTGTTAATACCCTCTCAGGGTGGCTCTTGATGTACCTCGGGTATCTGCTGAAATTGTTGAAGTGTTGGTGGTCGCTTTGCAGTCAAGAGCAGCACAGTGTTCTCATTCTATTCATACTTAATATTTAATGCTGTCTTCCCATCTAACCTTTTACCTCTTCTTTTGCTGATCTCAGCGATGGGCTACCTTCCTCCATTGCATTTTAAAAAGCAGGATAACCTGTAACTCCAGCTAACCTCATTGTTTCTTTCGTGTCTGAAGTCCAGAGGATCGGATTTGCCCAAAACTGTACAGTGAGTCAGTGGAAAGTCTGGGTAGAAGCATCTAGCACCTTTATTCCCAACGCTCTATGAAGACCCAGGTTGGAGAGAGTTCGATGCTATCAATTAGCACTAAACATACAATTTGGAACAATTTGTACAAGATGACTAAAGGTACAAAGTTCAAGAAAAAAGTAAACTTTTAAAGGGATATATTTTAAGTAGAGGGTTTTATTCATAAACCCCAAATCAGGCAGCTGGCAAAAAACATCATTTGTGTGTAACCTCTGACAGTGTCCTCACGGAATTGGAGGTGTGCACAGAGTTGTTGGAGCTGTACTGTTGTCTTTTCCCCTGAGGATGTAATGATACACAACTTATCACTAAACAAACTGAAACTGCATGAAAAGGAGCTGAGGCTACAGTTGAAATCTCTGTAAACCTCCTCAGTTTTGTATTCCGGCTGGAATAGAGGTCTTTGGAGTCAGGCAGACTTTCACTAAATGCCAGCACTTCCACTGGGCATCTCTGAAATGTTGGCAAAGTCACTTACAGGCCTTGAGCTCCAGTTTTCCAATTTCAGGAAAGGGAATATTGGCCATCTTTATCAACTCTGATTAGCGCAGAATTAAATGAAACCATATATATATATATATATATATAAATATATGATCCATAGCAATATATATATATATATATATATATATATATAAAACAATCATACTTATGGTACTAGATGGCCCAGAGCAAGCACTCAGGGACTGACAACTTTTAAGGGTGTCATTTCAATAAGCAGTCTACCAAGTAGGCTCTTCTAGGATATACTCTGTACACCATTCTTATGCTGATCTAATCACTTAAAAAAATTACTAATCAGTCCTAATGCATGTGTTTATGTATACGACTGGCATAAATTTTATAGAAAAAGTGATTCATACTACTGCATCATTTGAAGTCCATCAAATTCAGAGCTGGCTCAGAAAACTGATTGTGTTCAGTCTTTTATTTGTTCAGTTGTCCGTGCTCTCTTGCTCGTGTCACTGTCTTAGATACAGCTAGCTTTTGGAGAAAGGCAGATGCTGCCACTGAAGATGCTTGGGAAACTGTGTACACATGACAATCTCTGGAGCCCCCCAGTGGAAAAGAGAATGAAGTAAGAAGTAAATCAGTGAGGAAGTCTTAGCCAGATTCAAACATAGAATTATTGTTGTTGGGGGTTACTATGTAGCTCAGGCTGGCCTGGAACTCATAGTGCTTCTACAGCCTCAGCCTCCTCAGTGCTGAGATTGCAGGCATGCATCAGCATACCCTGCTGGTATAGAGCATTATTTAAAAGAGAAATCATGGCTCACAACATAAATTGTGATGCCTTGCAAATTCAACCATAGAATTCCTGCTTTCAAACTGTCCAGTCAGGTCCACTGAATGCAGAGTAAAGTGATGGTCTTGATCCCAGTAGACTTGTCTTTATGTTGCCCACCCTGTCTCTCTGTCCACTCATCCAAGGTCAGTTCCCTTCTGCTCACTCCACATCAGCCCACAGCCTCCTGCTCTTTGCAGATCACGCCAGGCTTGTGCCCGCCTCAGGACACTGGAGTTCTTCCTTAGACACGGACAGGATTCTACACTCCTTCCAATCAACTATTAGCTCATCTTTCTCAGCTCATGTTTATTGCGGCCGCAGGGACCTTTCCTCAACCTCTTCATTCAAGCTGCTTCCCCACTACCTCCTCTATTCGTCTTTATGAACCTTAACTTCTTCCACTTCATCACTCATGAGCTTGAACTATCCCAGGCATACAACATCTTTACTTTGTTTCCTTCCACTGAATGCAGATTTCAGAAAGGCAAGAACAGCATCTCTTTTGTCCTCCATTTTATGTACAGCAGTGAACCAGTAAAGTATTTGCCACAGAAGATGTATTTAATAAATACATGGGGGTTTTTTTGTTTGTTTTTGGTTTTTTTCGGTACCAGGATTCAAACCCACTACCTTGCACTTGCCAGGCAGGCACTGTGTTGCTGAGCTAAATCCCTAGCCCCAATACATGTTTATTTAATTCTGTCCTTTATGGAGAAGCTCAGGGGAATGTACAAGGGAGGCATATGACCCCTCAAAGCAGCAACCACTCACTCATGAAGTAAGCATGGGCTGTATTCAAAGGGCGCAAACATATGTCTAGCAATGCTAACCTTAGTCAGAGATTGATAGGTGCCCTTGTGAGCATGCTCACTGAGTATTGAGCAGATCAGTTAGCTCAACCCAACTTACATTTGTTCTCTGTCCTAAAAGATTAGGGAAAGGTCATTAGAGAGGATGGTATTCTAGGTCTAGAGAATGGATGCATAAAATGTAATATTTTGGAAGAATTGTAGGAAGTTTATTGTGGTTGTAATACAGGGAGTTTGGTGTGGAGTGAGAATGGACAAGGAAAAGATCTTGAAGAACTAAATATACTATGGGTCTGAAGTTTTAAATACAATGGCAGGGGGAACCCTTACATGCATTAGCAGGAAACTAGACTTCATTATAGTTTAGTTTTAGTAAGACCATTTAGCTCTTAGTATAAAGAGAAAACTATATTTCCTTTTGATTTTATATGCCCTTTTTCCTCAGTTACTAAGAAGATGAGCTTTTGTAACAATAAGAAAATCTCATTGTGATAAGCAGACTGAGCACAATGTCTTATATTTGGTAAATTCTCCAATGTGTTCTACATCCAGCTTGTTTACCTGGTCAGGTTTACCTGGTTTGACCACTTCTACAAACACAAACTCTTCGAGAAACTACATGGAATAATCTGGAAAACATTTTCTTTTTTACATTATCCTGGCAAACAGCCTCTATTTTATTTTCCAGTTTTATCGAGTGATTGACATTTAGTTTCTAAGTGGCCTTTATAAATTCTGTAACTCAAGTTCACTATCTCCATAATAACCCATTCCTGCAGTGTTGATCATTTGTCTAGAGTGGAGAGGACTCCATGCCAGGATCTGGAATCGACCACTCCCTATTATGAAGGAACAAGCATTCTAGCAAGCACATGATTCATAGCATACTGTCTTTACTAACTATCTCCTAGGTTTGACATCACATAAAAGAAGGGGAAACAACCTGGGAAGTAATGGGAAAGTTTTATTCCTAGTGCTCCAAATAAAAGGTAAACATAGTATCAAAGCTCTTTCTAATACATACTTATCAGAAAACATTTCATCAAGAAAGAGAAGCAAAATTAGTCCGAGTTAAAGCACAGAAGAAATAACCATTTATGGTTAATATATCTTCACACACTTCTTCGGCAGCATTAAGTGGAGTGTCAGTGACTCAACTTCTTTCCCAGCAAACTTGCACAGTAGAGCACTGTTTTCGAGCAAAAATATTTTAGTGTCATAAACCTGAGCTCATTTCCTGATTCTACAACTTTAAAACTTCATCCTGTTGTGCAAGTAATTTAGATTCTGAGACTTCCTGTTTCTTTCTTCATATGATATGGATGCTAGTAATATCTACTCCTGAAGGGTGTTGGGATGATTGAATGAGATGATATATAAAAGCACTTGGTGTAATGCCTTGTGTCACACAGGTATCCACCAGACTAATTGAGCAGTCTACTATTTTCTCCTTTTTTCTTAGTGTTTTTTCAGAAGGGATGTGTTTGTGCTGAGCTGGCTCACACATGACCTAGAAGTAATGAGAACAACAACGGTATCCAACAAGAGTGTTATCATTACACCAAATGCCTCTTCTGTACAAAATAAGTTTGCAGGAGTGCCCACCCCACTGCACCTTCAGAAGCACTATTTTAAAGGCTCATTACTAGGAACCATAGGTTCATTACTGAAAAATATAGATCTTTTATTTTAAGGACCTTGTCAGCTACTAAAAAACAAACA